CAGAGGCATGATAAAGAGAAGTGAAGAAATGACTGACCTGGGTGCCCTCTTTAAATGGAGGTTCTGGCAAGAGCCATCCAATCAGAGGTACAAAGGCCCCAGGTACATTCCTTGATGTAAGTCCCAGGGCTGAAGTCATGTTCCAGGATGAAGAGGTTTCTGAGTTATGGTAGAAAAATCCTCAGGAATGTAGTCTGGTGAGTGCAGCTGTATTTTACCTTTCTTAATCTCCAGGACTTAACACAGTGCCTGGCACATAGCAGGCACTTAATACTGACCAACTAGCATATTATCTCATTGGATGTTCACAACAACCCTGTGAGATAGGTGGCTCTTGTTATTCCCTTTGCAGATGAGGAAAGTGAGACAGAGAGAGGTTAAGTGATTTGCCCAGGGTCACACAGCCAGTAATTTCGGAGGCATAATTCAAAACTCAGCTCTTCCCAACTCCTAGTCCAAGGCTGAATTCACTAAAACGTTGTGATTCAGTAAGCTTAAATGCTTACTATGTTTCAAAGCACCGTGGTAAGACACAAAGACAAGAATGCAGTAGTCCTTGACCTAGAAGACCTTACACTCTACTGAGGAGATACAATAATATGCACGGAAGCAAATATAAAGAATATACAAACTAACTTTTAAAAGGAAAGAGTGGGAGATCAGAAAAGGTCTCTCATAGGAGGTAGCCTCTGAGCTGAGCTTTGAAGGAAGCACAAGAGTCTAAGAGCTGGAGGTGGAGAAGAAGGGCATTCCAGACACAGAGGAGCATGGGTAAAGGCATAGTAGTGGAGCCGTAATGTCCTGTATGGGAAACAGCTAGCAGGCCAATCTGACAAGTGTAGGGAGAGGAGATGAAGGGAAATAATATGAAATAACACTGGAAATACTGGGTGAAACCAAGATTCCAACCTGGTGAAGGGCTGAGGATTTTGCATTTTATCATACAGGCAATAAGGAGCCTCTGACGATTTCCTGAGTAAGGGAACGAAATGGTCAGATACATGTTTTTGGATTATCAACTTGGCAGCTATGTAGAAGATGAACCAGAAAGAAAAGAGACCAAAGGCAAGGAAGCCAAGGAGGTGGTGACTGCAATAGTCCAGACGAGAGATGATGAGAGTCTGAAGCAGAAGAGAAGGTTCCAGTAGACAAAAGGGAAGGATGAGAGAGGTTAGGGAAGAAAGCTCAACAAGATTTGGCAACAGAATGGATGTGGAGGCTGAATGAAAGAGTCAAGTCAAGATTATTCCAAGGTTACAAACTTGAATAATCAACAAAAATGGGGAAGTTTGAAGGAATGATGGGTTGATGGGAAAAATGGTTTCTATTTTGTAATTTAGAGTTCTTGATGCCTATAGAACATGCAGGTAGGGGTTCCAGCAGGTGATATGTATGATGATACTAGATTGCAGGAGAAAGGTTAGATCTGGATCAACAGATTTTAGAGTCATCTGCAGGAAGATAATCATTTAGCCAGCACTTCTTAAACTGCAGGTCAAGACCCCATATAGGGACCCACAGCTTAAGAAGTGCTGAAGGGGTCACAAGTGGAAAGTTTAAGAATCCCTGACATGGGAGCTAAGGATATCACCTAGGGAGAGAATGTGGAGAAGGAAGAGAAGAGTGTTCTTCCAATCTCAGGGACAACTGGAAAAGTACAGGACAACTTTCTGTGACTCAGTTTCCCTATATCTATTAACAATATGAATAAGGTATGTTCTACCCAACTCTACAGCCACAAGGATGGAGGTAAGGAAGACGCTAGACCAAGTCTTAAGTCCACTTGACCATCAACACCCCTGCCATTGTGCCTACAATTCCCACCAGAACCATTCCTAAGGACCTTCTAGAAACATGGGCATTTTTACTGGATGCTGTGTTGGGGCAAGGGGGCCATAATATATTACCTAGTTAACCTTTATGTATAGATTAGTTTATGTGCCAACCCATTTCAGCAACACTTAGTGGGCAAAGCACTGGGCTGGGAGTTAGGAAACCAGCTTTCCAGTCCTGGTTCTGTTACCAGGTCACTTTTTTTTCTCTGAGCCACAATCATCTCATCTATAAAACAGAAATAGTGCCTGCTTTACTTGTTTCAAAGTGATATGCTGAGGCTCAGATGAAATAAAGGATGTGACCATATTTTTTAAAAGTATGAAATATTATGCATCTGATCTAAGATTGACCTAGAAGACACAGAGATAGAACTTGAACCCGGTCTTTAACAACAACAACAATAACTAATAGTTACTGGCTAGGTGACCCTGGGCCAGTCACTAAACTAAAGAGTGCCTCAGGCAACTTTCTAAGTTCATAAAGCTGCAAAGTAGGTGCTGATCTCTATGGGCCAGAGAATACTCCTCACTGAAAATCCCCTAACCAACAGACTCACAGGTCCATCCACAAAAGAAAAAAATTTACACAAACTATCACTTAGCAGAGCATAAAGCCAGGCACTTGAGTGAACAGAGCATCAGTCAATTAGTATTTATTACTGTGTGTATTTACTATAATTACAGCATGCACTCACTGTGTATCAGGCACTGTGCTAAGCACTGAGGATGCAAAGAAAAGCCAAAAAAGTCTTCATCCTTAAGAGCTTACATTCAAATGGGGGAGACCACATGCAAATAACTAGGTACATACAAGATACACACACATACACACATACACACACACATACACACACATATACATATATACAGTAAAATGAAAGTTAATCTCAAAGAAAGGGACTGAAGTTTTGATGGGAAAGAAGAAGAAAGAAAGATTGTCAGATGCCCTGGGTGCCTGAGGGCTTTCCCCTTGGCCCACCCAGGTGCACAAGATTCTTGAACAGCCTCTCTCAGGAGGGAACGTCCCCCCACCAAAGGGCAGGAGGCCACCTTTTAAGAAAACAATTTTCCATTTCGCTGAGTAAGCACAATTCCATCTTCTTCCCTTGTGAGAGCATGTTACTACAAAGAGCCAAAAGCCCCTCTGCGGGTGCACTTAAAAAAAAAAAACAGAACAAATGATGCTATTCTATTTAGTCAAAGCATGACCTGAGCTGGGGCCCATTAATAATTATCTGCCCTAAAAAGCCACCCATGCATTTGTTTGTTTTTTGTTCTCTGCTTCCTGATCCATTGAAAGACCCAAAGGCTAGATAGTGTTGCTTGTGGAAGAGATTAAATGGCACACATAACTTGCTTCACCCCCACAAGGGCCGGCTTTGAAAATGCACATCTTTCTTCTTTCACGTGGTGATGAAAGGGCACAGGGAGAGTCAGTCAGTCAACATCCCTAATTGAGTGCTCACAAGCTCCTCAGGGAGAGCCTTGGCCGAGAGGTGGTAGAGCAGTCTCTTCCCTTGGGCTACTTCTAATATGATGAGAGAGGCAGAACCTTGGGAGGTCTAGTTCTGATGAGAAGCTGACACACGCAAACTTAAGGAAGACATCAAGAAGGCGTAGGTGACAAAAAGCCAAACATGCATAAATTATCAGAGGGCAAAGTGAGTCCTCAGATGAATGAGGGCAACTCAGCGGATTGAAGTTAAAAGTACTGAAAGGAAGTTTTGAGACAGGTTTGGAAAGATAGAGTGGGCATTTTCTTTCATTTTCTTTTAAAATTTTTATTGATGAGAGGCGGGCTTGGAGAAGTAGACAGAGAGCCTTCCTCCATCTGTTAACTAAGGGGCATATCCAGGCGATTCTGTGGCTCATAAAGAACCAAAGGATTGTTAATGGGAAAATATAGTTCCCTCCCCACCCCAAATTCATCCTCAATGTCAGCTTCAAAGTATTAAAGACATTTCCAAGCATCCCAAATATTTCCTAAACCCCAACATTTTCTAACTGCTGTGTTGTGGATTTAATATCCATGAATAGATCTAAAACCTCCTTGAGTGTCTTTCTAGCCTATGCCATTCCCTTGAGTTAACACATTCCATCAATTTACTACCTCCTTTAAAAAAAAAGGATTTCTTTCTATTTGTCCCAAATTTATCTCAGAAGCTTCAAGGGAATCCCTCTGGTGCTAGTACTCTCAGATACAGTGAACAACTCTATTCACCCAATTCATACTATTTCTCATTTCAGAGACTTTGATCACACCCTCTCTTAGACTTCATTTTTCCAAACCGAAGAGGCCTCATTTTTAAAGTCTTTCATGGGGCAACACCTCAATCATTTCTACTGCCTTTCTATGGACCCCTCTGCTGCTCCTCTTATGTTGTTATTGGAATGTTCCAAGTACAAACACACTAGGCCTAGTTCTTACAAGGGCAGGATGGCATTTTCTGTTCTGTTTCCCATCCATTCCCCGATGATGTCTCACGAGCATTTTGTCCATCTTTCTGTCACTGGAAATATACCAGGTTGTAGTCTGAGGCTATAATGAGCCTTGGCTCCCTTTTTTGGATCATAAGGAATAATTTCATGTCTTCCTTTCTATAAACATAGTTTGGATTACTTTTCCCCAAATGCTTCCCATTTTCCTCACTCAAAGACCCTCTCCTACTTTTCTACCCACTCATAACCTCGTGAGCTCTCTTGCTGCGGTTTATTCCTCTTGGTTTTATTTTAGAATATTCTTGATGATAACTGAAAACCTAGAGATCTTACTACTCTCTCTTTCAGATCACTTACAAAATATTAAGCCTGGTCCAAGCAACAATCCCTGATAGTACCTCCTTGTTTATGGTATTTCATACCCAAAAGTGCTCATTTATCCCTAATCTTTTTTTCTTACACTCAAAACGCTGCCCAATCACATGAAATCTCAGTTTTTAAAAAAAACCTTCAGGATATAGTCTTGTTCATTCACTCATTCAGAAAACATTAAGTTCTCTAATATGTGCCAGGCACACTATACTGCTTACTAAATATTTTGAAAGTGAATTATATGCATTGGTTCCAATATACCTATGTATTTTAACAGACCAGGCACAACCCTTTATAAAAACCATGCTGCCATTTCCCAGTATGCTACAATTGCTTAATCTTAAGTGATCTTACCCTTTGATTACAGATTCTGCACACTTTTTTCAGTCTGTTATTCTCAAGGCCCCCACTGGTGAAAGAGTCAGGATTCAAATTCAGAGCTCCTCACAGTTCTACTCTTCAAACCTCTGCAGGACTATCATGTGGCAGGCCATCCTTCTTCATCTCCAACAAAGCCTAAACAAGAAGGAAGGAGCTGAAACTGTAGCATGAGGGAGTGAAGTTAGAGAAAAAGTCTCTTCCAGTTCTAAAACTCTATAAGGTCCCATATATCAACTGTTACATCTCATGACCTATAAGGACGTTGTAAGATATGAAGTGGATGATTTAGGGTGACATGAAATCAAGCCTTTATTTAAGGTCTTTAAAAGCTACACAATGTAGTGTTTCCTAGGTGTAGGCAATAGGATGGATGGGATATTTGTTCAATGTTTCTCCAAGCCTTAAGATTCCAACCTGAGCACAGTCCTCACCGGAATGATATTGCCTCTGGAAGTCCTAGCTCTACAAGACCCAAGACCTTCCTTAACCCTCTTCAGTACCAAATTTAAGTTTTGGTGGGCAAATTGCAATAACTAATGGAACCAAGTAGGACAGGTGCTGGCACCAACCGCTGCTACTTAACGAAGACCCAATGAGTTCCACGGGAGGAAACAAACGGCATTCACATAGTAGGCATGAGATATACATCTGCCTGTGCTTGAGGGGAACCTGACACTGCTGTCCAAGAACAAAGGGTTACCTAACCCAGAATCTTCCATCATTATCTCTAGTTAACTCCATCCACCTTGAAGAGGGGAGAAGGGGAAGAGAATAGATGTGGAAGAAAATAGGCCCAGAAAATAGACTAAGGAAGGAGACTGAAGAATTCTGGAAAAGGAGCGAAAGCCTCCAACACTGCCCAAGAGAACCCAAGCTTCTCCCACCTCAATCTCTATGCTAAGAACTTTTTGTTTCTTTAGCTCTTAGACTCTACTTTCAGGTTCTCCATCAGTCGTCAGTCCTGTGCCAACCTCCCCACCCAACCCCACCCCAGCTCTATACTCAAACTCTTTAGAGCCCCCAGCCTCTGTCATGCATCTGCATTCCAGATGGTCTCCACCTCTCACCAGACTGAATTCCTAACAAGGGCAGGATGAGAAGGGACGATCAGGAGAATGCCCTGTACTTCAATCATTCTCAGACTGTCAAGTTCAGGTTAAAGGAAAGGTAAATGAGGCCAAAAGAATAAGGAAAAGTGAAGACCACTTGATATACACAAAGATTCTGTAGCAGGGCAGAGTCGCGTGTTATGTTTTATCCAACAAGAGGGGCAGCTGATATAACTATGAAAATTGTTTGGCGTTTGAAGGAGAAGTAAAGAAAGGTGGGGATTAAACAATCTGAGACATGAAGAAATTCAAAGAAAATGACAAGGAAAGGAAAAAATGTGAATTTGCTTTCCTTGTCTCACAAAGATTATAGGAAATACATGTTATTTATTTGTTGCAAAGCTTTCTTCCAAGTTCATTGAATTCAAAACAACAATAACTTTTTTACTTTAGCGTCCTCCAGAGTCTGACTTTACCATGGAAAGAGCACTCACACAGGACCTGGAGGATCATCTGAATCCCAACTCTGCTACTTACTACTTCTGTATGACCTCAGGGAATCCACTTTTAACCTCAGTTTCCTCATCTGTAAAATGAATGGGTTGTTCTAAGGTCCCTTTCAACTCTAAATCCATGATCCTTATGAGAAAAAGACAGAACTGTGGGAAGTGGGGAGAGAGGGAGAGAGGGAGAGAGAGAGAGAGAGATTGTTTCAAATAATGAATTTTACAGGTCCTATCTCTATACTTCCTAGGGTGTCAAGTGCTCTTTTTCTGATTAATGGGCTTATCTGCTGTCCTGGAAAATTTATATAGTAAAGATGTATTTCCAGGTGTGTGTGTGTGTGTGTGTGTGTGTGTGTGTGTGTGTGTGTGTGTGTGTGTGTGTGTGTTTATGTTAACTGGGGCAGAGCTGAGACTTTTCTTTCCATTAATTCAATTAAGCCAACATTTTTAAGGGCCTACTATGTGCAAGGGACCTTGCTAGTTCCCAAAAGGGATGTGGACATCTCCCTTCCACCACTACCATAGCCCCGGAGCCCCTCAACTTCCCTTCTTTCCCCCAACTCCCACAGACACACAGAACAATATTGGGGAAAGCAAACAGAAACCAGCTTCTGGGTTGCTGTTCATCAGGACCCTTGTATCTACAATGACGTATTTAATAGCAATGGAGAACAATTGTCCCTACCTACCTTAAGTGGACACAATACCTTTTCCAAGTTGAGGCAAAGCTCTAATCTACTACAGAGAAAAACAAGAACAAAGCCTGGCCTCCCAAGAAATCAGCTGAAGCTAACCAGAAAGATTCTGGGACCTAGTCTCCCGAGTAGATTCCCCGAATATTTCCATGACCTCTAAAGGAACACATTTACAAAGCACTTTAAGGTCTACAGAGCACTTTGTTCACAACAGTCCTTTGTTGGATGAACAGTGTGTTACCAAAGAAGTAAGGTTCATTAAAGGATGATAGGATCATCATAAATTTATGCTGGCAGAGACCTCAGAGGTCATCTTGTCACAAAAACATAAGTCTGGAGCTTGAAGGGATTTCAGAAGCCATCTAATGCAAGCCCTTCATTAACAGAGGAGAAAACTAAGGCTCAGGAAGGCCAAGTGATTTGTCCAAGGTCACACAGGGAATAACATTAAAAGTCAGATATGCACCCAGGTCCTCAGACTCCAGAGGCAATAAATACCCTTTTCACTGTATCATGCTGTGTTCTGCAGAGGCCACCTAGTTCAACCCCCTCCCTCATTTTTGCAGAAAAGGAAATGGGCCAAGGAAGTTAAGTGACTTAGCCAAGATCACACAAACAGATCTGACCATATTGTTAAAGTATATATTCATAGCAAATTGAGTGAATATTGAGGGGAATGGGGGGAAGAGACTGTTAGAAAAATTGTAGTCACTACTGGGAAATAGGACACTGAAACTGCTTGAAGAGAGGAAGTCATTCTGAGAATATTTGTTTCTCCAATTCCAGGGACTTCTGGGCTTAAGGCATAATGGTGTAGTGAAAGTCAGGGCACATCCAGAGAAAGAACTATTGAGCCTGAATGCAGATCAAAGCATACCATTTTTGCTTTTTTTATTTTGTTTCTTCTTTCTCTTGGTTTTTCCCTAATTCTTTTTTACAACATAACTAATGTGGAAATATGTTTAATATGATTGTACATGTATAGCCTATATCAGATTGTATGCCATCTTGGGGAGGGGAAGAAAATTTAGAATTTGAAATCTTATAGAAGTGAATGTTGAAAATTAAAAACAAATAAATACAAAAAATTTTTAAAGTCAGGATACTTGGGTTGAGATCCAGGCTCAGCCACTTACCAGCTATGTGACCTTGGGCAATGTGCTTAATCTCTCTGGGTTTCAATAGCCTCATTGACAAGAAGAGGGGGTTGGACTGGACTGGACCCCATGCTCTCTAAGGTCTCTACCAGCTCTACAACTATGATCCTATGGTCTCATTCATCACTGAGACCCTGTTTGAGGACATTAAGTGACTTTCCTACTAGGATGATGTCATTAGAACCAGAATCAGAAGTGCTGCTTAGCTGATGGTAGTGTTGCACGAAGGAGATGTTTTGCAAACTAAAGCAGTGTGAGATGGTATTGTACACCGTGTTTTCTTCAAGTCTGGATCTCTGGTTTCTTTCAGAGTTGGCTGTCTTGCAGGGCTACTTTGTCATTTCCCAATAGGCTGCCCTTTTCTAGATCTCTCCAGCATATCCCAGAAACTCCTCCTCCTGGAAGCTCCTTTCAGCTCTAGAACTCAAAGAAGTGCCCTTTGTCCCCTGGGCTCCACAATCTGATTGGAGAGTGGATGGCTCTTCCCAGAACCTCCATTTAAAGAGGGTACCCAGTCCAGCTATCTCTTAATTTCCCCCAAAGCTACACTCCTCAGACCTCTGGGGGACTTTCTTCTCTTACCTCCCCCTTTGCTTTTCAATTTCCTTTTATTTTCAACTCCATTAGAAAGTAAGCTCCCTGCAGGTAGGAATTGTGTATCTCTTTAATTTTTGCTAGTTTATTCCCAGAACTTATTTTCCACACTACCTGGCACACAGTAAGCACTTATGAAATGCTTATGGATGGACGTTTTGTGCTTACAGTGTGCCTCTCCTAAGGAAGACAAATCCTGCCTGGCTCAGATACGAGCACATGCACACCACATATGGAAATTCTGGAGGCAGCAGGAAGCAAAAAAGAGAAAACAGAGGCGGGTTGGTGACAAGTACTGCTAAGCAGGGTGGGTTTGCCACCTGGCAGTCCGGGACTCTGACTCCTCCCAGACAAAGGCTGGGGTACGGAGAGGTGTCAGGGTCAAAGAGGGGCATGTGAGATACTCACAAATATCACCACTATTGTTCTGAGCAACCCTCATCCCCTAGCAGGCCCTAATTCTCTTGCTCTCTGCCTGCTCTTCTTCACCTTGTCATCCAACTCTGCCCTCCATGCCAACCACCAATGCCAGGCTGGCAGTGAGACCTTTCTGGAGATCCAAAAGCACCTATCTCCGGACCATTGATTCAGCCACCCTGCCTTGGACACAGGATGTTGTATAATATTTATGGAGCACAATAAATTCTGCATGGCTGGCAGGAAGCAAAGGAAGTCACTTTGAATCTCACCTTCACCATCACTCTGGTTTCTCAGGAATGAGTGGGAATCAAGTTTTGTTCTTTCATTTGGTGCCTGGGGCTAGAAAGGGGAGAGGACAGGGTTTGAGGAACAGCAGGAAATTACTCCCAGCTCGGCAATCAGCACCCTTAAAAGCAAAAGACAAGTCACTTAACCTTTCTACAACTCCATCAACTCCTCTATAAAATGAGGGGAAGTCGTCTACATGATCTAACGGCCCCTTCACATCCTCTTCTCTCCTGTGATACAACGGCCTAAGCTCAAATGGCTGCTCTGCCTTTCTGACTCAAGGATGAACCTTTTTCTCTCTACAGGTCCACACTTCGCCTTCCTCAAAGATGGGTACTGGTACACAAAGAACTCAAACTAAATCAGATTACTCAAGTAAACTATATGAAAGTCAGAAGGTCTGGATATCTGAGGATCTGTCATATG